AGACACAACAGAAGGCTTTAAAAGGGCACTAACATTTAGCTCTGAGTATTTACGAGAGGCACATTCCGTACATTCCCTGCATCACTTCTTTACATCCTCAACCCACCCAGGTCAATAAAACGGGTCTTTCACCTTCGCTTGCCATTTTTGCACACCTATGCAACATTTTCAACACATCTGGGACCATCACCTTCGGAGTGACTTAGGCACTAACCGACCTCGCTCAAACTCCAATTGATCTAACTTGCTCCTTCTGTGCACTTCCCGCTTCTCGGTCGGCCAATCTGTGTTTAATTTGGCTACGGCCTGAGTCACAACCTCCATAAGCTCCTCATACTGCAGGGATATGGCTGGCGAGTCACCAATATCACCGCTTCAATGCTAAGGACGTCCAACTCCTCAGAGCTAGACAGTTCCAGCATCAAGCTCTCACTCAGGGCAGAAGAAGTCGAAGAGAGGGCTTCAGTATCCCAAAGCACTGAGGACTGAAGCTAGCGGGTGAGAGCTGAGAAAGGGCTGCAGCCTTCTCAAACTCCTCCAGCTTCATTTACGATTCCCATGAGTGAAGCCGCCGCACTGCTTCAGCAGACGCGGGACCCGATCCGCAGAGAGCGCGAGCCCCGTGGAGCGTCCTCAAGGAAAGTTATTCACAATGTGCACAGCCAGCCCCCCTGAAAGCTGACCGTGCATGCTCCGCTCCCAAGCAGCTTATACAGATTTTGTGTGTGTCCCCACCCGTAATATAACGAGGGCACACACTGTCTGAACTGCTTTCTGCTCGCCATTGCTATCTTTTTCTCTTTAAACGAGGGACAAACAACACCAAATAAGACTCACAGTAGCCTATACACAGAGTGCTTACTGAAGACAGAAGCTTTTTAGCTTTGTAGCCCTTTGTAGCTTCCGTGTTACTCCATCAACTGTCACGAGGTAACGCAGCAACAAGCTGTCATTTTAAAATTTTGTGGAATGGAAAGAGCTGCCTAAAAAGTTCTAATTTTGTGTTGCACTGAATAAATAACAGCATATGGAGAACGACATGAGGGTAAAAATTACAAATAACATGTCAAATAAATGGGTTAGTTTTGCTTTTATGAATTAAGCTTGCTGTCACGGTGTGGGTTTTGTGTCTTGTCATGTTCAGTGGTTCCTTGTCTTGTCTATTAGTTATCCCAGGTGTTTCTGATATCCCACGCCCCCTTGTTATCTTGTCTCGTTTGTCCCTTATTATTTAAGCCCTGTGTTTCAGCCTGGTTTTTGTGAGTTCTTGTTTAATGTTTGACTGTTAACAGTGATGTTGGTTGTTCTTGTTGTCGTATCCTGTTCCTGAGTCCCGAGTCCTGTATCCAAGTTTAGTTTATAGTCTGTAAAATAAAGCGTGTGTTGCATTTGGATCCTGCTTCATCTCTGCTTCAACCGCACCTCGTTACACTTGCATGATAATATTACACATAAATTAATTTTCCTAGGTCCTTGCACACTGAGTTCTAAATTTTCGTATGCGTTTTTTCGTACTCGTCATTCGATGGCTCTGAATTGTCAAAACACCTCTCAAAATGCTTGCTACAGATGCGAAATACGCAGAAAATCGAACCCGATCCGAATTTTTTTATGACGGATGAAAGTTTGTGTGTAAATGTGATTGAGACAATGTGAGGTCGTATTTATTTTTCACCTTGCCAAAGTTGCAGATGACAATTTCGGACTCGGTGTGCAAGGGCCCATCTGTAATATTATACAGCAGATTTTTTTTGTTTTGTTATCAATTTGTTTTGTGTTATATAGTCAATGGCTAAATATATATGGTAAATATATGTGTAGGCTATATGTCAAGTTTACAGCAAAGTGCCTATATAGTGTGTTATGACGTCACTGGTCATTATCACACAATATAAGATTACTAGTCAAATAAATAAATGAACTTGAAATCCCTTTAGTTTATGTATTGTGATTGTTGAGAGTGATAGCCAACATGACCCAGTAAAAATGACTTCCAATAATACTGAAAATTGTTTTAAGTGTTAGTTCAGCCTCATATAGTTCAAAACCTGTATGAGTTTCTTTCTTCTGTATGGACAGGCCTTTTTCCATCAGACGAATAAAATCAATAAGAAGATCCTGATCACAGAAACTTATAGCAGATTTAGGTAAGAATCTAATCGTATTGCAGTTTTTCTCGATTACTTACACATTATAACTGATTTAGAACAATTTCCCGAATCATTCATTAGTTCTCAAAGACACATTTCTCAAAATGTTTAACAATGAGTAAACATTACCAAAACCGATGACACAACAATCAGATTGTTTGCATCCTGGAGAGAAAGCTGAAAGAATCATCAATTACAGTACCAGTACTAGATGAGGGAAGTTTCACATGTTGTACTCTCTTAAACTTGAAACTGTAAAGTTAATTGGCAGCCATTTTTTATCTGTAACCTTACTAGCCTACTGTAGAACTGAGAAATGACTGCCTAGGGATATAGTCTTGTGTCTGAAGACCAAACTGCTATAGTACTGTTACTGTTATGAAATTTGGCCATGAAATGTGCAGAGGTTATTTTACTAGCTACTGCATATTTTACAACATTTATTGATGTTGTATACTGTAATGGACATTGAGCTGCAAAATAATTCCTGAATCCCAATAAGAGATTTTGGTTACAGTGTTATGAACTGACCTAGTGTTCACTGGGCAGTGGGGTAGTGTGTGTTTGTTCAGTTTTCTGTGTCATTTGAGGCCAAAGATTGATTTTGAGAGAAGAGAATGTTTTTAACTAATGTTTTATTTTGACCTGGAAGTTTGAGGTTTGTGCAAGTTGGTAGTTTTGAGATTGTGTTTATAGTTGTGAGGAAACGGTGAATTGTTTCATGAATTGTGTGATAATAGCAATCAAGAAAAACTGTACTAACTAGATTGAAAAGTTTGAAAGACAAATGTATGTCTTGTTTAAAAAACATAAACATTTTGGTCAGATATAGGCCAGAATAGATAGATGTTCTGGGTGTTTGCTAAAGTGTTGCTATAAGTGCTCACTCGTAACATTCTGTTTTAATGGTGCATGTACTTTTTAAATAACCATAACTTGCTAAATTTTCTACCGATTTTCAAACGGTTTGGTTTGTTATAAACGTCAGAGATGTAGTTATGACACTGCATACTTATAAATAATAAGTGTATAAATAAATAATCATCCAGAATTATAGCCACGTTAATAACGTTTGTAAGAAACCAAACCGTTTGTAAATCCGTCAAGATTTCAACGAGATAAGAGTATTTGTGTTCGTGCTGATCACTCATCTTACATCAGGTACAGAGCCCGCCAGAAAGCTTGCCTGTTACAAGATGGCCGCCGGTGATGACGATAGAGACTCCGCAGTAAGACATCTAGCCTTTATGATGGATATATCCACCTCTGTCAATAACAGAAACTCAAACACTGTTTTCAAAACTGATCCTCAGTGAGTCTTAGTGCATTGATATTATTGTATTTCTTTCTTATGTTACATTTGTTTTGTTGCTCTTTAACTTGCACTTAAACGTGATTTATACCATCCTACACCAGCCTATGTATTAATAAAACAGCTCATCTTCTTTAGTAATACAAGCTCAGAAACATTTAGAATTTTGATGTTTTTTGACTTGGTATCTTGACTTGGTGCCATGATGGATATTGAAATTTTGTTATTACATTTTTATTTAAATTTATATTAAACATTTTGTTATTTAATTTTAAACAGTATAGATAATTACTTTGTGGTAATGCAATATTTTTTAACACGATTGTGTATGTCAGGCCATACATCCCTAAAAACTATGCATGGGCGCTTGCTTTGGTGTTGCCACCCCTCTTACCTCATGCCACCCCTTTGCCACCTTATAAATAATTTTCTAGATCCGCCCCTACTTCTGTTAAACATAAAAGAAGATATTTTGAAGAATGTTGGTAACCAAACTTTTTCTCTGATCTAAACACAAGCCTTACTAAATGAGAGCTTTGCCCTAAATTCCTGTAGGCCTAGAGGTTTATTTTGTCGTTGGGTTTATGTTGTGTGTTTAGAATGGACAAGATGATGTATGCGCAGAGCTTTTTATGAATGAATGAATGAACAAATGCAGTTGAGGGCGGGTTTACTTTATTTTAAAATCCCGCCTTTTCCCATGGCATTTGCCTAGTGGTACCGCCCCTCCCTCTTTCCCTTTCTGCAACTCATGATGAGTCGGCAATACAAGTGCCTTTACTCGATACGTGAAAGGGAAGATGTTAGGTGTAAACTTAAAACTTTAGGTTGCTGAATTTGAATTAAATTACTTACATACTGGTCTACAATATGGTCAATCTAAATCCTCAAATTTGTAGTAGGCTAGCTAGCCTAGTCTGCAGTGTTACCAAACCCTTCTCAACATTAATCAAACGTTATCACGTTTTAAAAGCTTTTTTCACAATCAGTATAGGCTAATGTTTTCAATTCGGGAATACAGGTTACATTAATTGTGCACTACGTAAACAAACCACTACACGTGCATGCTCGTTATTTGACTCGCCCGTGACCAATGAGTATTATACTGACACAGCGAGAGCGCGCATTCGCAGCGACTGACGTCCTCAATGGGCGGAGCCGAAGGAAAGACCGAATGCACTGCAGACAGCTATGTAACATGCGAATTTTCCGAAACTATACTTTTAGGGGGCTGGTCTTAAAACATTGTGTAACTGAGCTATATAAGCAGCTGACCTCTTGTGCATATTATGTATTCGGAACAGTTAAAAGACGATGCGGTATCTCGTTTTTGTATAGGGGTAGATTTAGTTAGCCAAATGCTGACCACCTATCTTGTAATACAGAGCGATAGTGACATTTGATACCGGCAAAGAGCAACAGTGTCAAGCTAATTCATTTTGAAGTACTGATGCATCCTCCTTTGCCCATATAAAAAACCGCTATTTTTAATGCGCTAATATTAATTTTTTAAGCGCTAATAATAATACAATTTTTTTTGCGCTGTAGTCTAAACGTCTTTAATGATGGGAGTTGGAACTGATAACAAGACTACGACCTTGTCTAAGTATGCATTACAGCAGCTTGGAGAGGGAAAAGAGGAGGTAGATCTCCGGAAGATGACACCCGGCAATGCTGAGGCCATGAGGCTGGCAAAGGCTGAACACCAGATAACGGAACCCAGAGAAACTTGGGGTCGACGTCTGGAGTTCGTGCTCGCCTCCATCGGTTATGCAGTGGGTCTGGGGAACGTGTGGCGCTTCCCGTACCTGTGCTACAGGAGCGGAGGAGGTGAGTGACTCCTGCTAACGCGTTACTCTTCTCTCATGATGAATCACCTGAGTCTGTAGCCATTCCGATGTCATGCTGCTCATCTTCGTCTTAATATAAAACACCCCATACAAAATTTGTTTTCCACAAAATATTAATTATGAATTACAGTTAACAATTGCTACGGGCATTTTGAGTGTCCAGAGAATTACTGAGAATAAAATATATTTAAAAGGAAAACATTGTGGCCTTTTTTATATATAATATTAATATCTGAACAAACTTTAACTTAGCAAAAAGAAAGTCAAGTGTAGCCCACCAACATACTGTTCACATGCAGGAAGCCATTTTGTTGTCATGTGACAAAAAACATATCACGGAGAGGACCCCTTTATGTAGGCTATGCCAATTCAAGGTCATAAATTATATATAATCACATAACTCTGACCTTTTATGAAAAGGCACTTTTTTGTTCAGGTCAAATAGAGTAAAGCTTCGGAAATTTCTTGATAGGCATGACTCAAATGTGATATTTGAAAATAACTTTTTTTGAACATTAATTCAAGCTGTGTACACTTATGTTGTAATGAAAGTCTTTTAATACTTTTTTACTTAAGGCTCTACTACCACCTTCTTTAGAGTAAGAAAAATCCAAATCTTTGTTAACTGTAAAACAAAATAAATACAAAAGATTACATTTGGCACATGTTTGCAAACTACATTTTTATGACCATTATATTCCGTTTATTTTATCGTTATTTAGATTATTTATTGGAAGCTAATTTTGTGGCTGTTGTGTAACTATAAGATGTAACAGTAGATCCAGGACAGGAGTGTGTGATATTGGATATCTTGTTTTCTCACGCCAGTCTATGTTTCATCTTTGCGTTGGTTCTGCCAATTTATGTTGTTCTTTTGACCCTTTTCCCATTGTTAATCATTGACTTATTTCATATTCATTGACCTAGAACGGTTGTTGTTTCCAATATTTATCAATCATAAATTTTCCTTTCTGGTTTGGCAACATGCCATATACAGTATAGCATTTGTATAGCTTAAAAATATGTACTAAAGGCATGCAAAAATGATTTGAATTGTTAAAAAAATGTATTGTTAAAAAAGACGCAATATATACTGTCCCAAGAATGACAATCAATAAAACTCCATTTCTGTGATCTGTGATATTATAGGATAAATATGAACCTATAGGTTTTATAGGACAGCTGCTGTCACAAAGTTCACAGCACATAATCTTGCCTCCTGTTGTTTCATGTTTGTATAGAACAATATAGTTATTTTAGCGAACATCCATATTGTCCAGACGAATGTTTGCTTTCTTCACCTGTGTTTTCATAGACAGTAAAACCATTCACAACCTCAGATTCTTTCTTTTTCTTTTTTTTATCATCTAAAATTTCCAATTTCCACATTTTTTTTTTTTTTTTATCAGAGGGAATTCATTTATGGCCTTTTCATCTATACAGAACATGTCAATAAACCATCTTGCCCTCCCGAAAGACACTTTAAATACTAAATTTGCATTAACATGAGTTGCAAGAAAATAGTCTTAACCTCACAGAATGACTCTGCGGAAAAAAAAGACAAATTAAGGGGTGGAAAATATAATTACACGACTATTTGACCATTGTTAATAAAACTATCTATCTATCTATCTATCTATCTATCTATCTATCTATCTATCTATCTATCTATCTATCTATCTATCTATCTATCTATCTATCTATCTATCTATCTATCTATCTATCTATCTATCTATCTATCTATCTATCTATCTATCCCGGTCAAATTTATGAAGACAAAAAGAAAACCTTTGTGACCATTGAAGCAAAACAAAATATTTATTAAATATTAATCATTCATTTATTTTCATTATTTATTCATTATTTTCTTATTTCGCCTCATGTTTTGTTTTCCAATCTTTCACATGTTCCAGGTGCTTTCTTGATTCCCTACTTCATCATGTTGTTTCTCTGTGGTATCCCACTGCTGTTCATGGAGTTCACTGTTGGGCAGTACACTCGTCTGGGGCCGGTCCATGCTCTGGCTAAAATATGTCCCCTCTTCAAAGGTGAGTGGACCATGTGTCCCAATCGCTCACATCTCCTGGGTTCTATTCTACCATCCAAACATAGTACAGCAAATGGGAAGTCTTATTGATTTCTATGTTGTATTGGACATTCTGGCATTTCAGTCAAACTAATGGCTGACTGTTCAACTCTCAACTGTGTTCAAGTCTGTTGAATTATGATTTGACATCAAATGAGTTTAAGGAATATGTTTTATAAATAAATTATATAAAGAAAATATTCCTCGTAAAATCTCTAGATGACTTTGCCTGCTGTGCACCTTGTCGCATTGTATGTCCAGAGGCTTGTTCCATAAAACAAGTTTACCAAATAAGCCATGCTTTTTTTTCTGTTAGTCTTACTCATTGTCAGTTGATTTGGTTCCATAAAGCAAACTGAACATAGCTCAAGCTCAGTCACTCTGGCAACTTATGCTGGTTAACTAACCTGGTCAAGGGCATGCTAACTGTCTGGCTAAGCCTGAGTTGTTGCAGAGTTCCTCTATCACTGACTGACAGGAACACAATGATATTACCACTGACTCTCTAGCATACCATTATTTGACTTTATTAACCACTATCAGTCTAAAAATAAATATATAGAATGTAGAAAATCAACGTAAATAATAAGTCAAATAAATAAGCTACAATGATAAATTATACAATATAGACCTACAAACATGTTCAATTATATTGTGTAGTATCAAATATTATAAATATATATAGCCAGGCCTTTTTTTCTGTTAGTCCAACTCATTGTCAGTTGATTTGTTTCCATAAAGCAAATTTAACATAGCTTAGTCACTCTGGCAACTTATGCTGGGAAACTATATATATATATATATAAACCTACAGGTTTTCTTTTCTTACATTTACATTTACATTTATTCATTTAGCTGACACTTTTATCCAAAGCGACTTACAATTGCTATATATGTCAGAGTTCGCACGCCTCTGGAGCAACTAGCGGTTAAGTGTCTTGCTCTGGGACACATTGGTGTCTCACAGTGGATTCGAACCCGGGTCTCTCACACCAAAGGCATGTGTCTTATCCACTGCGCCATCACCACCCTTTTCTTAATGACTGTTTGAATGTATAGTGCCCAATGATTAATTAAAATATATGAATACATTTCACTTTGGTGGCAGTTGTAGTTCCTTTTATGGTTAATAGGACATTAGAACATCCCCCCCCAACCTCCACCCCCTCTCTCTATCACCATTTCAGCACTGTTTTTCCCGGGGTAGGTTGCCAGGTCTTTCCCCATTCCTCCCCATTTCATGACTTGGGACTCACACACACACACACACACACACACACACACACACACACACACACACACACACACACACACACACACACACACACACACACACACACACACTCACGCATTCACACATACGGCCAATTTGACATATCCAATCCACCTAATCTGCATGTGGACTGTGTGGGGGGAACTCACGCTGACAAAGGGAGAACATGCAGACTCCACAGAAAGGACTCCTGGCTCAGCCTGGGCTCTATAACCGGTGATTTTCTTGCTATACCTTCTGATCCACCATGCTGCCCCATTAGAACTTTACAATAAAATTAAAAAAAAGCATTTTAAAGCAGATGTTACAATCATTCAATTAAAAATGAAAATAAATAACCAATTTCACAGACTAAATTTTAACTGTTAAGAGGAACAATTAGTCCTATATTAGATTTACCCCAGTACAGTAGTCACTTTACAGTTACTGCTATCTTAAAAATACACTTACCTTTAGGTTTAAAGTTCTACATAAGGCACATTTAATGTCCAAAAACAAATATTTTAAGAGAAAACTGTATATTTTAGTCGGAATTATTGAGCTCCTATTCTATTGCGGTCCGTTTGGTGCACAGCTGCGCTCGTTCATTGAGAAGTTTTGCGGAGGCTTGCTTACATAAGCCTCATCCAATCATAACAGCGAAATGGAAATTCTAACATTTACAGATGGAGAATATACCCAAATGTACATTATGCACTGAGGAAAGCAACACGCAACACACGCATTAAACAGCACAAAATATGCTATTTGCTATAGTGGACCTATAGAGCTATAGCGCACCTATAGAGCACCTATAGAGCTGCGATTAGAATAGTATGCATATCAAATGATCTTGCCTCATTGAACCAGGGTCAAATTAGTGGTATTGCGTGAACTTAAATTTCTCTAATGGAACCCATTCAGCCCCGACTGGTTTGTTACTTTAATTCAAGTCAGGTTTTGGACTGTAATCCCAAATTTTCTTAGCGCACTTTATGGAACAAGCCTCTGCTTTGTTTCTATTGTTCTTTTTTACTGGGTAAAGTAAAGTAAACAAAGGTAAAGTAAAAGTAGTAAATTGATCAAAAACAGAATAAATCATGACCACATTCGGAACGTAGGAACTGGAATAGGCTACAATGCAAAAGATTGGTTTGATAAACCGTAATCAATTGTGATTTAATAAAGTCGTTTTATATTGATACAAAAATAATCATCAGCGTAAGTTAGTTGAGAATTTTAAATTAAAATGTAAAAAATGCATTAATCGAAATGTTTAAAAGATAGCAGCTTGAATGGAACACTATATAAACAAGATTCATCACCTCTCTTTTCCTTTTGCAAGAAATGCTTCTCTTGCAGCCGGATCAGTTTTCAGTCCCACTTTAAGTGTCTTTAACTACTATGGTCTAACATTTTAGATGATACAATGCACTGATACAATGGAACAATGGAACATATGATACAATGCACTGATTGTGTACACACATGATTTTACATTGTACCTATTTTTTTTAAAATACCTGCATATTACATCTGTAATTAATTTCTGTGATGACATCTATAACTGTTGAGCCTTCCCTTACCCCTCCCTTAAACCGACCCATACAAGCAAACCTGTCCGTAATCTTACCCATATCCCACCTCAATAGCAGCACAAGTATTTTGCAAAACAACATGAACAACATCATACCTAACAATTTTTTTATGTAAGTACATAGTAGTTAAAGACACCTAATATAAAATGTGACCGTTTTTTCTTTACTTGATATAATAGTGGCATTTAAAAGTATATAAAAAAATGATTTTCATGAAAATACTTCAAATTGTAACATTTTTTACTTAAAACTAACATTTTAAAATAATAATAAAAAAAGAATAATAAGAGAATCTTAGCTTAAATTTATTGTTTATTTAGCTTACATAATGTTTTTATTTTTTATATAGGGACATTCATTACGGTTGCATCACCTGACTTTTGCAACTTAGGCCCTGTATTAAGATGCGTTTTGGTTGATTGGATCACAAGTCAACGAGGGAGACACATACTCGTTTACACCTGTTATTTTAATCCAGGGGGGGGGGGGCTTGGGTCTATGTGTAAATGTATGTGTTTTTTTCAGATCTTTCAATAGACGAAATAAGCTCGCATTATTTACACATAAACGCGCCCGGAGATGACGGAAAAACATGGAGAGCAGCAGCTTTCGTTTCTGATATAGATATAAATTCTGATATAAAGTCAGAATTGATTGATATAAAGTCAGAATTGCGTGATATAAAGTCGAAATTGCGTGTTGTAAAATCAGAATTGTGAGATATAAACTATTCTGAGGGGGAAAAAGTTAGTCTTTTTTCCCCCTTAGAATTGGCCTGATAACTCGCAATTGCGAGTTTATATCTCACAATTCTGAGAAAAGATGTCAGAATTTCGAGATATAAACTCGCAGTTATGTGTTAAGTCAGAATTGCGAGATGTAGACTCGCAATTGTGAGAAAAAAGTCAGAATTGTGTGATAAAAAGTCGCAATTCTGTCTTTTTTTCTCGCAATTGCGACTTTATTTCTCATAATTGCGACTTTATATCTCGCAATTGCGACTTTATTTCTCAGAATTGCGACTTTATATCTCGCAATTGCGACTTTATTTCTCAGAATTGCGACTTTACATCTCGCAATTGCGACTTTATTTCTCACAATTCTGACTTCATATCTCGCAATTGTGAGATAAAAAGTCGCAATTATTATATCTATTTTTTTATTCAGTGGCGGAAACAAGCTTCCATAGGTTTAAGATACCAAATCATAAAATAAAATAATAGGCCTATTTATTATTTGAATGTTCTGAAAATATATTCAAACTAAGTGTTTTTAATAAAGTGATACATGTCATGAATTTATCAAATTATTTTAAAAAGAAATAATGCACTTGGACACAAAAATATCCATGTTATGTCAATGACCGATTATCATTTTGCTGGACTATGTTTAGTGAATCAACCCATCTCTCTGCATTGACATGGCAGTTCAAGCATGGATACAGAGTGCAAAGCTTTTCTTCTCACCCTTGTGTTGGATTTTCCCTGTAAAAATGTGTGGACCTGTAAATATGGCACTTCATACAGTATCTGATGATCTGGTGATGGCTGATCTCTTGTGTTTGTCCTGTGTTCTGTACCTGAATCAATCCTCTTCATTTGAACTCTTACTTTTATGAAAACATGAGTGAAAACAACAGTATTTCTTCTTATAATGAATATTTGGAAATTAATACATTTGATTGTTTATTTATTTATTTACAGGTCATGTTTAATTGTTATATATCATAAAATATGACAAAATATCACAAATGTATTTAAAATATTCATATAATTATATATATATTATAATTGATATTATATAAATATAAAATACAATTTTAATAAAATAAAAATAAAAGTTCAAAAATTATAAAAAATGTAAATGGAGGGCAACCTATTTGTGACTAAAGTGAGTGTCAACACCAAGCTCAGCCATCACTGTTCATCATTTGAGTTTCTTTTCTTTTCTTTCTTTCTTTCTTTCTTTTTTTAAATTTGACTCTTTCCCCTGCTAACTAAAGGCTTCTCTCCTCAAAGACAGAGATAGTCTACCCGGTCAAATCTTTTGGGTCCATCCCTTGATATAGGGCTCATTTCAGCCGATTATGGCTCCTTGCTAGCAGAGGGACTGAAGTAGGTAGTTCTTTCTGTATATTCTTTTAACTGAAATGTACTCTTTATGTCACATTATTTTTGATGTTACAGACGATCCACCAGAAAAAGTGAGTAAAGGGTAATTCTCTATATGGCTCTCCTCCTAATAGCTCTCCATAATAGCTCTCCTCCTTTTACTTTTGTAATATCTTTCGGGACTTTTATTAATGGGTTATATCTTGGTATGGTCAGAAAAGTAACCTTACTTACTCCTAAGTATCCTTTCTGTCTCTGGAGTAATTATAGCCTTCAACAGTTGTGACATCAGGGTTGCATGATTTAACAAGGTTCCTAAGGTGAAAATGCCCACACTCAGAACAAAACAATGAACTACTGTGCACTAAACAGGAAAAAGAGAGTGTGTGCAGGCATTTATGTTCAGTTATACAGCACTAATGTTATACAAAATTGTGGAACTGGTGCTAGGATCTCATATGGTGCCTGGGAGAGGATAAATTCTAGGGTTTGTTTCTGCACAAGAAAACAGATGAAAAATATAGTACCGTAGATGAGCTTTTCTTAGAAAACAAAAAGTATCTTTCTGTCTCGATAAAGTTTGGATGAAAGTATGGAAGAAACCCATAGTGCCTTTCTATACCTTCAGGCAATAATATTTGTCAAAAAACAATAAAAAAATTTGGGGCACAGCTGTTCTCCATAAGATAATAACAATATGGATGTAGGGGTTTATTTACTCTTTGAAAGATAATACATATTTAAATGTCAAGTATTGTGTTTTCTCCTTTAATAATATTTGATGGTATTTTAGGGTCAAACTTGTTCTTAAGCAAACTTGTTCTCAATAAAAAATGCATACAAACCTTTCTATAACCTCAAGTTTAACACAACGTTTACAATAATCTTGCTTGCAATCGATCTCATCATAGACTTACTGTTAATTTTGGATTTCCAAGTAGAGCATCCAAATAATCCCATAATGCCCCTCGTCTATATTATTGTTAAGCAGTGGAATAATTTAGGCTCAAGCTCAGGAGAACAAAATGCTCTGGGGGAGTTTATATGACCTCAGAGGGCACCACAAAATGTGCCAACAACAACAACAACATTCCTGTTTTTAGTGCTTTCTACTATTCAGGCCTGAAAAAACTAATGAACATTCCATTTAGGTGGTGGGAATACACAAAAAAAATGCCAAGATCCGTAGAGAGTGATGATAGATAATCCTAGGACATAAAGCTGGCATCAAAACATGGTAAAAACTAAAATCAGTGATCTTTGCCTCTTCATCCTCCTACCATGTCCTACCAAGTCATGTTGAATAGACATGTTTATATTGGATTCAGAACTGTTCAAACTGTTTGGTTTGGCAAGTAAATCATAAATGGACCTAAGAATGGCTAATATAATTTTTTTTCCTTTTTTTAATGGCAAAAGCTTATTTTAAAGCTCCAGTCCGTAACTTTTTTGGGTTAAAAATTATCCAAAAGAGTTCAAAACTATCTGCTTGCCTTAGCTCGATTCAAAACGGTAAGCTTGTAATAATGTTTTTAATTTCAGTGGTACTGGTGGATTTCCGCGGGAAATTTGAGCATGTCTTTGCGTCATTACGTCACATCTGTACACATAAAGAAGGAGTCTCGGCTAGTAGGCTATATTGCGAGTGAGGATGTTGGAGATGGAGATTTATAGCCTTTTCTCACAGTACTTGATATAATTAAACTTATTAATTTGATGGCGGATCCCAAAAGGTTCAAACGACAATCACCAGTGACAACTAGAGATTCACCCGTTGTAAAATGCAAAAGACTTTGGACTGAGAGTTTGGAAAAAGAGACTGCAACCGGCCCATGCGAAAACAAGGATAAATATCTGAAGGGCTTTAAATGTAGTCACGCAATGCTGATGTTGTTAACAATAACAATTTGAGAACAAAGTATATTTTGCACGGTTTGGCGTTATCTGATAAGCGATCGTTAGATTTAATCAGCGCGATTTACTGCAATGGTTTTTTTCCCTTAGTTGGTCAAAAGAACAAAAGTGGATGTTACTTACTTGTTCAGATGACATTTTAGGGCGAAAATTCTTGTGTTGGTCATAGTTCCAAAAAGTAGAATCTGTGATTGTGAATGCCAGTATCCACACCGTGCGGTGACTGACAGCTGCAGATTCTCCTCAAAGCATTGTGTTCATCCGTGCTGTGCCGTGTCGAAGTACAACTCACGTAAAGTTGATAATTCCGCGAATGACTGCAATTGCAGATTTCGAACAGAGATGGCGACAAAGAGGAAAAACTGCAGACTGCAGCTTTAAGAACTCTGATGATGACTGGATGGGAATGTTTTTGTTATTATTTGACACTTAATTCTTAAACCTCTTCCTGATGTCCATTTCTAAATCTAATTCTGTTTCACTTCAGGCTTATATGAGATTTCAATGCTGATTACAGTTGGGCAGTAATGAATCAAAACCGTTGGAATTCACTGAACTTGCGTTCTGCATATCAGAATTTCAGTGATGTGTCAGCACAAAAGAAGTGTATTAAGTTTACTCCTGGCCATTGAATCCCTTTATAAAGAAAAGCATATTGTGTTGTGTGCCAAGAGTTCTGTTTGTCTGTTTTCTTAGGATGCAATTAAAGGTGCTCTAAGCTATGTTGGGTGACATCACTTCTTGTTAACGTTCAAAGTATTGTCAGACAAAACGGAGGCTAGCTCGACCCTCCCTCCTCCTCATCCCGTCCCCTCCCTTCTGTTGCATGTGCACTAACCCCCCAACCCCCACCCCCACCCCCAAATCATTCTTGTCAGTTATTGGCTGGAACGCTGTTTGTTATGTTTCGTGGTCCAGGTTGGACCAGTTTGTTTTTGTTGCCGTTTGTGGAGCCGGGGGTGGCTACAGAGACCGCGTGTTTTTACAGTGTGTTCAGGGGACAGGCATCTAGCGGAAAGTGAGGAGATGTTTGCTGTATGTGACAAAAAATGTTTCGGCCTAAAAAACGCGCAACATCGCTTAGAGCACCTTTAATACATGAAATCATTGAGAAACAGAAATACTGTTGCGTAAGCCAGTGGTTCTCAGCTTTTGTTGTTGATGTTAAAAGGCTGTGCATCCAATTAACTCTATGATATTAAGTTGTATCAGTCACTTCATGAAAGGCAAATACCTACATGCATGCACAGGTTTCGTGACGTCCCCCCATTCAAACTTGGCAGCATGAAAGATTGTTAAACAAGTTGTTTGGCACAATATATTTGGGCATATGCAGAAGTTTTATTTTTAATACGTTTTTTTGTATATACGTTTTTGTACAATTTAGGTCACCAATTGATATCCACTTTAGAACCAGTTAAGAACCATTGTAAGCTACAAATAAGTGGTAAAAAGCTATTTGAAGTTTAAGTTTTCATAAGATCAAGATTATGAGACTAGTTGTTCCAACAACACATTTAATACCCCACAATATCAATCCAATCGGAATCACATGTAAGCAGGGTACAAATATTTTTTTAGCTCTTCAGAACAGTGTGTGCCTGAGGTCTTTTGAAATCTAAGCTACAGCATAACATTGAACAGCCTTACTGGATTTATTCATGCAATCCTCAATAAAAAACTAGACTTTCTGATTTAAATCTCCAAGAACCTCTTGCATAAGGTCTGTGGAGCCATAAGAAACCCCTGGTGTCTTGGTCAACCACAAAAACATTCACTAAGAAAGGATAACAGAAGAATCCTGGGAAACTAGATTTTCTTTTTTTAACGTATGTTTAGAAATGTTGTTAGATAAGAGTTATCTTAATATAATTTGACCTAAAGTAAAATGAAAACAGCTGTCATGAAAATTTGCTTTATCTGTTCTTTTCAAACTTGTACGCCAACCTAGAAATGTACATCTGGAGGTCAACGGTTTTATTCTTTTTTAAATAAAAACATAAATCTAAACATTTCAGTGCCTCTGAAGAGCCCTAAGCACTGTTCCAATATGAGTCTGTTCAGCAGTGAAAGACTCGGAAATGGTGGCAGGAAGTGGTGTCATTTTCTGGTGTCTCACTGTTTCTTTGTCTGTCCTCAGGTGTGGGGCTTGCCACGGTAGTGATTTCTTACGTGCTCTGCACCTACTACAACGTGCTCATGACCTGGGCTCTCTACTACCTGCTTCATTCGTTCAGCCCCTCATTGCCATGGCAGTCCTGCAACAACACGTGGAATGCAGTTGGCAACTGTTCCACTGGTTTTCCTGGCAATGCCACGCATCTGCAATCAGCCAGTCAACAGTTCTTTGAGTGAGTGACAGATTTAATTTTACTATGTAAGGCCCGCCCAATCGGTCCAACTAAATTTTTCCGATAAGCTGGTGAAGGTTTTCTGCACGTTCTGTCTTTTCAGTGTGGCAAACTAGTTTAATTCTAATTTTCTTTTATCTAACTCCATTTTAATGCGACCTTAAATTTAGGTTGGAATGCCAATTGGTTATTGGTCATTTATATGATACTGTATCTAGACATTTTATTATTCTATTTAACTCTTAACTTTATATTTTACTCGTTCATTAGGAATCTATAGTGCACAGAGATCCTCGTGCCGGCCGTTTAACTCAGATCTCAGATCACCAACTCGCCAGACTTGACTATACTGTTTAGAAGGCCACCTTCATGCTTGCTCTATCTAAAAGTATTTTGTTTAGTCCCCAAAGATCTGTATACACTTGAATTAAAGTAACACTATCTCTAGTCGGAGGTCTTGGCCACTACTACAGATATAAGCACACCAACATTACTTCTCTGATAGTAGCTTTGGTTTGGTCATGACATGGTTTCCCACGTACACTTAGTTATAGTATTATTACATTAAAACAGAGGTAAGGCTCACCCTATTTTGGTTGGTTGATCAACATTTTGTTGTCCTAAACGGAAATTCTCTTTTTAGCCTTTACAGTCTAAGTACACTTGAACTAGTGCCAAGTGTTAGCCGGAGCTCTAAAATCGCAGTTGGTGTGCCCTATGCTCCACTCAAAAACTGGACTTTAGTCCGTTACTAAGCTGACACAGATTCGCGGTCAAATCAGCCTTCACTTAATCTACTTGAGAAAATAATTTCAGAGTAAGTCAGAATAAATTAAAATGTAACAATTTAATATTATTCAGGTAAATGTATCATGACAATTACATAATAAATTCAAAGACAATCAATACAAAACATAAAATGCTCTGGAATAAAGAGTAAAAGATGCATATCTCACATTAGGAAAAATATAGTGCTGAGTGTCTGAGAACATTCAGCATTACGGGCAGATCTGTCTACAAATCGCCCTGAGCCTTTTTCAGCATTTCTTTAACACTAGAAGTGCCAGAATTCCATAACTACTAGAACTGCCACAAGCGGTCATTTTGACCGTTAGATTGCAATCTCTATATCTTTAATGATAAATACCCAATTGAGAGATTAATGCATTTATTGTATTAGGATATCTTTTAAAAACAAAACAACACCAAACTGTACATTTAAAAAAGTTTAATTATACATTTATAAATAATAATATCAGTAGCCCGTAATTATCGCATATTCACAACAGATAGCCTAGCTATATTTCCATATCCATTCAACATAACTCAGAACAAGATAATAACAACTAAAAGTATCTTATTTAGATATTCTTTTGACAGTGAGAGAGACAATGTCACGGTTTATGAATTCGCTGTCTCCTTTCTCGTCTTGTTGTGTGTGTGTGTGTGTGTGTGTGTGTGTGTGTGTGTGTGTGTGTGTGTGTGCGTGCGTGTGTGCGTGGTCGCTGATCATTGCAGCTGATCAGCATGCCCGCTCTGATCAACGCGCCAGCTGCAACTGATCAGCGATTCGACCCTTTTTAGTGTTACTGTTGTCGCCTAGTCTTTGTGAGATCGTTGTGGATTTTTCCTGCGTGTTTGTTCCCTGCCTGTATCTGTTTTCTGTGTGTTATCCTGTGTTCAGCACTCCATGGTTCTACACGCAGCGTCCCTGTGCTGCCAAGGGCTTCATACCGGACATTTACACACCTTAACTCTCCCAGCATCTGACCAGCTCTCAATAAACATATCTGTCATTTTGCAATTGAATATTCTGATTATTTCCTAATAGACAAAGGTCAACCGCGAGAAATGTAACAAAAGAATACCGCAAAATTCAGTGCGGTCAATATGACCGTCTATGGCCGAAATAGGTAAATATGTTAATTAGTTTTTTTGCCTTATGTGTAATTTATATTAAAAACCTTTAAAATGAAAATACAGACACTTTTAGGAAAAGTCAGTTACCAGCAGGATTTTATTTATTTTTTCAACAAAGTTATTGCAGATATAAAATTCAAAACGGTCAAAATGACCGCCGTGGCCGTTCTAGTGTTAAATACCCAGACCAAGACAAAACATCCCCCAATGTGAGGCATGAACTTACAATTGGAATCTGCATTCACTAGGGTCATAAACCTAGGGAGTTTACACCTTTTGAGGATAGAAAGTCATTTGCATGAAAGACCCGCCCTCCTCTGTAAGCAACATATCTCATTACCTCTTGGTTTACTTCTTTGGGAATGAGACATTTGTACCAGTCGCACTGAGACATTTCAAATGATGCCAGACATGTATAGTGTTGTATGGTAATTGTTCACAATAAACCATATAGATTTTTGGGTGAATTTCAGGTTATCTCATCATGGGGAGAGAAGAGATGGGGGAAAAAGAGGGCGAAGGGAAAAACAAATGTGATTGGGTCTTGGGTGGGGATGCTAATCTTGCAAGAGAGAGTTCAAATGTTTATTTCCAGAAACAACCTTTGTTTTCTCGGGGAGTAGTCGTTTCTCAGTCCAGATGGCTCAGCAGCTTCCAGTTTTTCCAGTCTTACCACTTTCATTTTATGCCATATTTGGTGAGAATTCTTGACCTTTTGTCAGAGGTTGTTTATAATTGTGTATGTAATGTCACTCTATATTGAGGAACTATTAATTTCCTCTAATGTAAATGGAAAATTTGGAAAAGTTCAATCCATCCATCCATCCATTCATCCAATTGCAATGTGTTGTTTTTTGTTTTGTTTTTTTATAGTCATAAGGTCTTAGAAATGACCAGAGGGATTGAGCACGCTGGAGGGATTCGCTGGGAACTCTTTGGCCTCCTAATCCTGGCCTGGGCCATTGTTTATTTCTGTATCTTTAAAGGGGTGAAATCCACCGGAAAGGTCAGAATTCAGAGCTCACGTCATTTCTGAATAGATTCAATGTGTTTTAATTATCTAAATGAAGGCAAAATAGAATATGTAAGCTACAACATGATAGTTAGTGGTTAATATGTCTTTGTAAAAATATGAATAATGTGTTTGTGTATATACAATAAGACTCAGTATGTCAACTGTTATAATATCTATATTTGTTCAGGTGAATAAACCTCAATACATTTTAACCTAGTTGTTAAAGAAACTGATGGGAATAAAAATATATATACTTTTGTACTTTTGTCCTTGTTATCACAAAAAAAATCCCTCTGTTGACTCTGTCCATAGGTTGTGTACTTCACTGCCACATTCCCTTATTTCATACTAATTGCATTGCTGATCAATAATGTCCAGTTGCCTGGAGCAAAAGATGGTATCCTCTTCTTCCTCATGCCAAACTGGAGTAAACTCTTGGAAGTCCAGGTGAGATCATTTGAATAAAAATACTTGAGTCAAGTGGTGGTAAAAACAAACTACAACCTAACAGTCAACATTACATTATAGCTTGCATGCTACCATATCATTACTGTAGTACCACTGATAAACATCAACATTGTTGTGGGAATTGTGTCTGTTTACCATTTAACATGTAATTGACACTGGGTTAAGTTAATCAACAGGTCTGAAGTAGGTTTGAAATAACTTTAACACTGCCAATTCTTGTATAATGTAAAAACCATGTCACTGAATGAATGGCAGGTTTTATTTATTTTATATTTATGTTTCCCCTATTTCTGTTTGTGTTGCTTGCATAAATGCTTATGTACATTGCCAAACCCAATAAATACACATTATATTGTTTTCTTTTCATAAAAAGGATCTGATTGAGTCTGAATGTGTTAACTACAAAAATGTTGTGATTAAATTGAAATTAAACATTTAGATTGATTGACAGTACTTTTATGCCCACAAAAGAAAGCAAAAGTTAAATATGATTCCTGTTAATGCTTTATTAAAACATAAAAATGTATATGTCTATAAAAAAAAATGGACAAAAAGACAAGAATGAAACCCTGCTCTTATGTGTCTTTGTTAATCTTACGTTGTAGGTGTGGGTCAATGCTGCTGCTCAGATCTTTAACTCCATCGGCATCTCCTTTGGTTCTATGATATCTATGGCCAGTTACAACAAGTACAACAACAACATCCTTAAGTAAGCGATATGGAAATGAAGTGTTAAAAATACAAGTTAGGGGTATGGGGTGGCTTTGTCCCAGCAGCTGATTTTACATTTAAAAACATATTTTTACATTAAAATTAAATAAATGCATCTAAGTGCTTTCAAGTTTATTGCACTAATCAGAGCTAAAGGGTCTGTTATCTTCAAGAAATGCATGATTCTCCTCATCACGATTACCTTTTATTTTGCAGGGACACATTTATCATCTCTCTGGCAAATTCAGCCACTAGTATCGTAGCAGGCTTTGTTATTTTCTCTGCCATCGGGTACATGGCTCACATTCACAACCTACCTGTAGATGACATTGCCACAGATGGTAAGTTGTTTTTGGGGGGGGTTTATCAGTTTTTGCAGCTGTAAAACTAGTCCCCCCATTTCCTTGTGTTTTTCAAGGTTTGTTCACAAGCATTAAATACATTGAATCGCTTGAACTGAAAATACCACATTTCCTGTTATCTTTAATTGCTGTCTTCATTCAACCATGAATCACAGCTCAGTTTCAAGGACCAGGGGGCGTAGCTACGGGTGGGCCTAGGCCCATCCAGATTGGCACCCTGTCAGATCCAGGGAAATACATTTTTTTTAATAATACAATTTACAGTTCTTCAATATTATAATTATTAATTAAATATAATTATTTTATATGTGATTTGTTTTGTCATGCATTAGAACTATATCCTAATCTTAATAAGATTGTGCTAATTGGTCTCTTCCGTTACGCTATGTTCTTTGCGCCAACTAGCAGAGCCCTAATAACATTTTTATGTTATTACAAAAAATGGCTAAACAGCTATCTATTACACACAACCAAGTAGTTAAAGGTTGAGCACGTGAGCTAATTGGCTACTGATACAGCAGGAACCAATCAGCAGTGCCCTATAGACAATGATGTGATTGCAAGCAGGTTGAGTTAAGGACCTATTAGCCTGCACCATCTAGTTTCATGACAAAACTTTTTATTTTGTTTCTTTCAATGCAAACTAGTTATTGACATCCTAAATAAATCCAAACCAGACTCTAAAGGTGATGATACACAGGGCAACTTTTTGAGCAATGTTGCTTGGCAATCTTGCCGAGCGATTGTTGCTTGGGCACTTTCCCATTGAAAATGGGCAATACATTTCTATCTGGATAATTTAGATCAGTCTTGGGCCCTGTGTGTCATCTGGTTGCCCGTTGGCGGGAACATTGCCCAGCAACATTGCCCAAAAAGTTGCCCTGTGTATCATCACCTTTAGGCCAGCAAAGAAAGTGTGGATAGTCTTTTTGAGGAATTGTTGAAAGGGTATATATAGACCATGGCTAGAAAGTTTGTGAATGCACCGCTTGTCTTACCGGAGAAATTGCCCAATTGCCCATATGATTAATTGGGTAGATTTTTAGTCTGGCATTGGTTATACAATATTTGCATTTAATAGTTGGGAGCGAGGGGTTTTCTGAACTGTACATAGGTCACATGTGTGCACTGTATTAGCCATGGTTGGTTGTCGATACACGACTCAGACATTGTAATTTCTCTTTGTGATATAGTTGTTATCATAACTCAGATTGGATCTCTCTCTTTCCTGCTTTGTTTTTGTTTTGTTTTGTTTGTTTTTTTACCTGGTGGCCGCTCACACTTGATTGCACTGCACATTCTGAGTGGGTGTTTAAAGGTATGTATCTGCAACATTAGTGGCCGCATTAGTGGCATTTGTCTTTCTGAACAGGTTTATGATGATGTTGTTTTGAAGCGTTCATTGTACCGTGTTGTATTGCACGTTCACTTTGATGTGTTCATTACCTGTTTAATCTTGGATCGTACATACCGTAAAACTTCAAATAATAGCCGAGTCCCAAATAGACGCCTGTCTCTTTTACACGCCTGGTGTGGCTGCAGGTTTGGGTAATTAAAGGTGCTCTATGTAACTTTTCTACTAAAATGAATCCTTTTTTTATTGCCTGTGTGTGAAGGGGATGTAATCACACATTAAAATGATCCACTTGTCGAGTTTTCCTATTACCTCTGAAGGCCAGTATTCCTATTTCTATGTGAAGTCTCCGGGTCGGATTTACCGTGAAATCCAACAGATGTGACATGCATGCGCGCTCCCGAGCCTCTCTCCTTATATACAGTCTATTGTAGACGGTCAGGGAGTTACGTCCGGTTAAAGGCGCACGTTTTTCGGCTTATATCTCAGTCAATCTTTGATCAATATTCCCAAGACTCTAATCGTTCGTAGTGCTGGACGGGGCCTTTCGAACGAGCCCACCCCCGAGGTCCAACTCGCCCGGCTCCCCGAGTTATAGAACGGCGATCCGGTAGGGGGCATCCCCGAGGCCCGCCACTCTAAATGGGCAAGGGTTCCCCTGGGACCTCCTCCCCCGAATTTGAGCTCTCTGGGTCTTTGCGTTCCAGAGATAAGAGCGATTTTCTTCTGAGATCGTGACGTCACCAGCGTCTGCAATTTTGCAGCGCGCCCGATGGTGTTCTGCTAATATCTCCGCGAAAACACCATCAAAAACTATGGAACTTATATGGTTCTTTTCAGCTCGACTAGATGGTCCCAACGAGCTCGGTGCTCGCCGAATCCGTCTAGTATTCGCCGAGATATTTGCGTAATAGACGGTATTGTCTATGAGTTCGAGCACGAGCGCTCTTGTAAAATTTGGTTGCAATCGGAAACATCACCACTAGAGGCCGCTAAAAGTTACATAGAGCACCTTTAAAGGCCGGTCTCAAATAGAGGCCGGGTCTGTTTTTTAGTTTCGGGTTGTATTTAATCCTTTAAAACCGTCAGATCGTCCGCTTTTTGGCGGCCGTCAAAGCAAATTGTTGTCCCTCCAAAGCCTTTTTTGATCGGTGAGTGATGTAGAATAGAATGACTGCTGCGCCTGACAAGCAGAGAGAGAGAGCGCTCCGGCCGTGCGCGCGCACTCTCACGTCTTCAAACAACACGATTAATCAAAATCAATTGACACGATAGTAAAAGGTCAGAAGACCGCAGTTTCACATGGAGCATTTGGAGATTTTTAGAGATTAGAGACAAGCCTATACACTCAATGAACAACATCTCAACACTAAATTATAAAGGCCTGTCTCATATAGACGCCTGTCTCAAATACAAGCCGGTGCAGTTCGACGATTTGGGAAAATAAAAGCCCGGGCTACTATTTGAAGTTTTACGGTACTTCACCTTTAAGTCATGGGCGTTTATACAGTGACCGGTCCGTCGATTTTTCTTCTAAATTAAGCCGATTGAAAAACATGGGGGATGTGAATTATTCCGGACCACCTACACTTTTATAGGCCCACCCATCATCCACTTTCTGTATCCACCACTGCTCACAGGATCTGTTATTTTTCTTATGTGCTCTTTGCTGTTGTGCTCTTGTGATGGGTGTGAAATCTAATGGACCGTACATGAGTAGAGCAATCAATATCAAAGGAAGTCAATATCAACACCTTGCAAGCGAAGGAAATGAGAATGCAGTGGGGAAATTCCAGCTTCAAAAGTTTAATGAAGTGGGATGATAAATGAAAAGTTCTCGTTCTGTACCACCAGAGAGAGGATAAGTGTGAGAGGAGGTGAAGGGTGGATAGGATTATGCCAGAGAAAGGGAATAAAAGAGACCATTCATGGGAGAAACAGAATCAGGAAGAAATGAGCAAAGTGGGCAGAGTAGATCAGTGTAAATAAAGAAAAAACAATAATAAAAGAATGTCCTTGAGTTTTGAGCTGCCCTCAGGAGAACTTCACAGCAGTTTACAATATCATACTATTTGTGTTTATATAACATTACTGTTTGCTATATGATGTTGTCATTCAAGTCCATCAATTTATACCAGTTAAAGCAGAGAAAGCATTGAAACCTTGGCAGTTATACAGTACTTCAGAAAAATGATTAGTTTGCACAATGTTTGATAACCTATTTTGTAAGGTTTGTTTTGTTTTATTTTGTAATTTTGTAGTGTTTTCTCATATACATTCTTTGAGGAGGCATCTCTCAGAACAGCAGGCGGATCTTTTTTCTAAGCGATGCAATAATAGTTGTGCTGTTCAGCAGCTTTGCTGAGCATTTCCTCATCATAATAAATGGTTTAATGTCTCTGTCACTTTGATTCTTTAACTCTTTGTTTTCTCTTTGAAAGACCTTAAAATCTAAAATAAGACAGCTGCACAGCCTTTTCCAAGCCAGTTTCTACAGCTTTTTCCATTCTATTTAGATTCCTTCTCTTCCTTCCTACAATATCTTATTTTTGGGTTTTAGTACTGTAGGAATCTATAATCTGCATTTTTTTGGAATGTAAAAAAAAAAAAAAAAAAAAAAAAAAAAGGGTAAACGTGTTAAGCGGAGCATTACTAAACATTAAAAGTACTGTGTGACAGATCTGGTTCTTCTCGATGGCCAAGACCATTGTTGTTAATGTTTACGTTGGCATAACAACTAGTCAACTAGTGTCATCTTTCTCTTAATCGGTGTGATTTTTGTGTATATATGTTTTTCTGCAGGGCCTGGTCTGGTGTTTGTGGTATATCCTGAAGTGTTTTCCACCATGCCGATCTCTCAGCTCTGGGCACCTCTGTTTTTCATCATGTTACTCTGCCTTGGACTGGACAGTCAGGTAGAAGAGAAGAGGCCTCATAGTACAAGCATGCACAAACTAGCCCTGTTCTAAACCCTAGAAAGCTGCCTTTCTGTCTGAAACCTACATACAGCAGACTTCTGCCTTCTAAGAAGCAATTCGCACAGGACACGGTCTTGTTTTTCAATTGTTTTCTCTGTGCTAAACAACTTTTGCAATGGATCTCACTGCTTTTTCAGCATCGTATACTTAAATACATATGTAAATGTTTTTATAATCTGCAATTCTTTGCATTCTGTTCAACATATTGGATCAATTTTGTCACTCGCAATTATCCTATTCAATATAATGCAATTCTGCAATTATCTTCCTTACAAAGTATAAACATGATGTGGCCTTGGTAAATTTGAGTAGGCCACAGATGGCAAATGTGCTCATTTTATGTTCTTTCGTCTGTATTATCAGTTTCTGCAGCTGTAGGCCCAGTCTTCCCATGTCCTTGAGTGTTCTCAAGGTTTGTTGATGAGCAGGAAATTCAGTGAATCTCATAGAGTAAAAAAAGGATTATATTTATCATCTGCTTTTATTGCTGTACGGCGAAAAATCATAATTTACAGGACTAAGATCACAGGATTCTTATTTTCTCTTTGAGCTGTGTAAACTGTAAAGCCGTTTCCTCATTGCACACACCGAAAAGACGCAACTGTAAGAGAGTCAATGTCAGCATCTTGCAAGCAAGATGAGAAATTTGAGTGCAGTTTAATAATAATAATAATAAATGAAAATGTCTCATTCTTGTGAATGGAAAGGTGATCAGGAAGTGCCCAGCTCACCAGGTTTCGCAACAGAGCTATATGCGTGTGCAATTTGTACATTCACATGTGAACATTTTGGACTATTGTTTGTGTGAATGTACATATGTTTATCTGTGCAGTTTGCCATGGTGGAAGTGGCTGTAACTTTCATCATGGACGGCTTTGGCAAGAAAGCGTTGCGAGTTTTTAAGAGGAAGGAGCTGATTGTTCTGGCAGTGTGCTGCGTTGGCTTTCTGCTGGGGATTCCTCACATTTCCAGGGTAAATATGCTCTAGTTTCACATTACAAACAAATAATGTATTCTTACTTTTAAGATTTTGTTATACTTGGATCATTTGGATTTTATACAACAGTTCCTTACCTAAACATAATTTTAGTTTCAGAAGATTTGATTTAGAGATATATTTTCTCAATCACTATATTCAATATTTTTTTTTAAATTAAAACTCAAAAAGTAAAATACAGTAAATCTAAGTTTAAATAAAGTAATGTGAAAATGAACAGAACAAAAGTGTTATTACATTTCAAATTTTTATTTATGTGCACCAGTTTAATGATACAAATAACAAAAGGCAATATCTAGGCCTACATATATTTTTAATAAAACATTTTCGGAGTGAATTAATTGAAATGGACAACTGAAGTTTAGACACCATTAAAGACATCATAAAAATATGCATCCTAATGCTCTCATATACAGTACTTAAAAATGAACTGGCCAAATAACAAAAATCCAACCAGAAAGATAATTTAAAATATTTCCTGTGTGCGTTTGTGTGTGTGTGTATATATAGTCCTTGTTTTGATTATGGACATGAATCCTAACCCTAATTTCAATACTAATGATATAATATTGTATGTGTGCAGGGTGGGATATATGTGTTTCAGCTGATGGATCACTACACAGCTGTGGTGTCTCTAATGTTTCTGGCCTTCTTCGAGGTGCTCGCCGTCACTCTCATATTTGGTGAATATCACTACCTTCAGTGTGCACTTCAGACTATAGAAACTCAGATCAGATGTGGAGATTTGATGGTTCATGCTTTTCCATCTCATTTCTTTCTTGCTCTCTTCCACATCTCAATAATTCAATATTTCATTCCATTTTTATGCAGATGACTCCCAACTATACATCCCACTTAAATCTGGCAACTCCATGCAGCCTCTTTTAGACTGTTTGAAAGAAATTAAAATCTGGATGGCTGGCAAACAATTTCCTTCAGCTAAATGATAACAAAACTGAAGTTATTGTCTTTGGCCCTTCAAAATCAAAGAATTCCATTCCTGCCCCTTGCCCCCTATGTTAAAGCCCATGCACGTAATCTGGGTGTTATTTTAGACTCCCATCTTAACCTGCACAAACAAATATCATCTGTTGTAAAGACTAGTTTTTATCAATTAAGAATAATTTCAAAACTCAAGTCTGTTTTGTCATACAACGATCTAGAAAAAGTTATCCATGCCTTCATAACCTCTCGGCTAGACTATTGTAACTCTCTCTACTTTGGTCTTCCTCTGACACTGGTCGGACGGCTTCAGATGGTCCAAAATGCAGCGGCTAGGCTGCTCACAAATACAAAAAAGCGTGAACACATTACACCGGTTCTAGCCTCCTTGCACTGGCTTCCTGTCCAGTCTAGGATACAATTTAAAATGCTGTTGATGGTTTTTAAAGCTCTTCACGCCTTGGCCCCCAGCTACATAGCTGGTATTATTCATCCGCATGTAGCTCCCAGGTCCCTTAGATCTTCCAGCCATGGTCTCCTCCATGTCCCGCGGTCCCGGCTCAAACAAAAAGGTGATAGAGCCTTTTCTATTGCTGGCCCTCAGCTGTGGAACCAACTGCCACCTGACATCAGAAATGCTTCGTCTATCACAATTTTCAAAACCAGACTCAAAACTCACTTATTTACATTGGCCTTCCCTGCGTTTTAATTGTCTTACTGTGCTATGTCTGTAATTATAATTGTATTTATTTTATTTTTATTATTTTCTGGCTATTGCGCTGTGTACAGCACTTTGGTCAGTGCAAGCTGTGTTTAAATGGGCTATAAAAATCAATTTTACTTACTTTACTTACTATCTCACTCTCTCTCAAACACATGCAGGAGTGAGACGGCTCAGTTTAATGGTGGAGAAAATGCTGGGAAAGAAACCAAACCTCTACTTCCGTGTCTGCTGGCAGTACCTTTCACCCATGCTTGTGCTGGTGAGGAAAAAATGTTGGGATTCTCTATATTTGATCATTGACAACTATATATTGATCTGCATTCCAGAGTAAATAGCTTCAAAGTGCAGATGGTTTTAAAATACTACACTTTTTCCCAACAAGACCTTTTTTTCCTAGTGAAGTGACAAAAAAAATCAATGACAAAACTCAGTTTTTATGAGACTGTATTGTGCACACATCCTTTTACAGGGAATCCAGGCATCCTAAATGCCCTCACCTTCCCATAAATTAAAATTTCAAAATTTAAGGACATTAAAAAGTCTTTAAAATCTTAAATAGCATTGAAAAAGGGTTGTACATTTGTTGATAGTAATAGATATTTATAAAGTGGATCCCGGTGTGTGTCGGTTGAAGTGCAGATCTGAGAGGTTGGGTGAAGGTATAATGCTTTGCTTTGAATTAAAGGGAAAAAAAATGAAAATTCTGTCAGTATTTACTCACCCTCAGGGTGTTCTAAAAAACTTTCTTTGCTCTGTTGAAGTTAAGTCGAGTCACCTTCATTTATATAGCGCTTTATACACAAGAGATGTTTTAAAGCACCTTTATTATGATTCAATGATGCAAACAGAATTCAGTTTTTCTGTAAAGCAACTCTAAACAGAAAATAGTGTCATTGTTTAGCTGAGGTCAGTTCAGTGTTGATTCAGTTTCGTTCAACAACTGTGTAAAGATCATCAAATATGAAATGAGTTCAATTCAGTTATAAAGCAGCTCTGTAGAAAACAGAGATATCATCGTCCAGCTCTCATTCCAATAGTCTCAGTACAGTCAAATCAATAATATTGCAGAATATTAAGTGTCCCCAACTAAGCAAGCCAAAAGGGGACAGTGGCAAGAAACCCAAACTCTTATCCGGTGGCAAAATTGGAGAAAAAATCCATGGGAGAATCAGGCTCAGGTGTGGTTTAATTCTAGGCTGCATCACAAGTCAGATTGTAGATTGTGGATTGATCATTTAAAATACTTCATCCAGTTCCTTCTGCTTGAAGATCGGGCTACATTATGACAGCATTTGGTGGGGAAGGTCAAAAGTCAAAGCTGGCCATAGGGTCTGTGCAGAGGACTTGTCCGGTTCTCATGGTCTCCAGTGAGGATCTGTGCTGATGGCTGTCGTATCGCCGAGGTCTTCACAGGGTATCTGTCTCTAAGGGCTTGTCTTATCATGGTCTCCGCTGACATTCAGGGCTGTTGTGGTCATCCAGATGCAGGTCCACCGTCTGATCTGGAAACGGACCGAATTCGGCTGACTACTGTGACCTCGGGATAAGGATGAAACAGAGACTTAATACAAGCGTAGATGCCAAGATGTAACAAGTACATCGGATGTTATGGGAAGTGTTCCCGGTTCCGGTTGACCTAATTTATGCAGCCTAATAATCCTTTAACGGATTCGAATTATAGAGATGTGATAGTGTGTTATGTGTATGCTAGGTGGATTTTAATCTAGATTTATAGATAAATAGGAAAAGGATCTACCGCCCGCGTTCGATTTTGATATTCTATGTATTATCAGCTGGCCAGAATTTTGAGACCAGCAATAAACAGGAAGGAATATGATGCAATAAGAGCTTGCTCAAGTACTGAGGAGTTAAACCTTGTAGAGATTTGTAAGGAGATATTTTGATGAATGTTGGTAACCAAAAAATTGCTGGTCCCTATTGACTTCCATAGAATGAAAAAAAAATAATACTATGGAAGTCAATGAGGACTAGAAACTGTTTGGTTACCAACATTCTTCAAAATAACTTGTACAGGTTTAGAACAACTTGAGGATGAGTAAATGATGAAGAATTTTTATTTTGGGGTGAACTATCCCTTTAATAACAATGACCTCTTTCCTGTCTCTCTCTCTCTCTGCAGGGTATTCTGATCTCCAGTATTTTTCAGTATACTCCAGCTCGATACGGCAAGTCCTACACATACCCGCTCTGGGCAGAGGTGGTCGGCTGGCTCATCTCTCTCGCCTCCATCATCTGGATTCCACTTGGGGCTCTACATGAGCTTTGGACCACCGAAGGGTCTCTGCTGCAGGTGTGTACAGTGCACAAACACTCCCTATATCAATATTTGTTGTGTTTCTCTCAAAATGAACCCAGTGCCTTTCTCCATCTCTGTTGCAGAGGTTGAAAAAGTCCATAACTCCAGCTATAGATCTGGAGTTTGTTTCAGAGAAACCATCTTCCGAGTCCATTGCGATGTTTACCGCTCCTTAGACACTTGAGTGTGTGTGTGTCCTTAATATGTTTACTCATTAGAAGTGCAAAGTAGTTCTGCTTAAACTGAAAAATATCATTTTATGTTTTTACTCGTATTTATATTCTGTTTATTGCATTTGAAATTAATGTTGTAAAGTACAAAAATATTCCCAGATTTACAATATGGCATTGATATTGATGATGCTGTTTTTTTTTAATTATTATTGTTGAATTACTTTTTTTACATGTGTTTATTTGATTATTTGAAAGCTTTGTATATTGTAAAAAAAGAAAAAGAAAAAAGAAAACTTAATGTCAGACATAAATTTTATGCATATTTTTCTTCAAGTAAAGAAGTGTAAAATATATGATGATGTAATGAGAGAGATTTTGGTTGGTTTTCTCCGTTATTTAAGCTTTAAAATGATTAAGCATTGACCTTTAAGCCTTGTTGAATTGTATATTTGTATACACGGATGTAAAGGACTGACAAAACCTTGAAATGATATTTAGAATGTTAGGGACAACATACTTGATTTTACACAACATTATTTCAAAATTCAAAAACTGCACTAGCAAACGCCTGCACAAAATGTTTTCATGAAACTCTTAAATTCCATGAAGTTCTGAAATGTCAGCATCACTTTATTATGGGTACAACTACATTCACTCTCATAGGCTTTAGCACATATTGATCATAGAAAAAGAGAGCTGCTTTCAGATGCCTTTGTGTTAGCTGAGGACTAAGGTTACGTAAATTGAACACCGCATTTACAGCTGCTTATGACGCATGCAGGTTTTGCCCTCTACTTTGTAACTTGAACTGTGGCACATATCCTAAAGCATATATAGATGGTTGAGTGGCAGAAAAACTTAGCCCAAGTTTACAGAAAAAAATTAAGAAACGAAGAAAGGTTGTAAGTTAAAATGTGTGTGCCCTTGTTAATAGGCACTTTCTGATGTCACCTGTAAGGCCTATGCATTCTGATATAGATAGAAAAAAAATTCATGTTTACTGTTTTTTTATTTTAGTATTCACTGTTTTACGATTTAGCGTAAAAAGTACCTTTTGGAGGTACCGAAAAAATTAACCGAAAAGTGAGCCAAAGTTTAAAACAAAATTTCCATGACACTTAAATTAGAGGAACGCATATTTAGAAATAAAATAGTTTGTTTTAAATGTGCAATGTTCCAATTGATAAATCAGAGATAATAGTGTCCACTGAAGGATGCAATATGGTTATTATATAATTAGTAATCAGTAATAATTAGTAATAATCTGTGCAAACTGTCTTGATTAGTTGTACCAAACCTTAGCACTACTGTTATTTTGTAACGTATGTGTATCATTGTCATATGTCATATTGTTTTGTTCTCAGAATGAATAGTGATAACCACAGAAGGATAATCATTCATATTCAAACAGTTGTTCTCTATTTTGTTGAAACCTTTTTATATATTTAAAATGTCATTTTTATGTCATGACTGGCCGTTTTATACGCAAGTGATCTTATCAAAATAAAAAGGCATTGCTCCGTTTCAATTTTGTTTGCTTATTTTGTGCAGATCCATATTATGACATATAATACTGCCGTTTCACCACAAGATGTCACCCCAGCTCAATTAACTGCTGACATCATTCATTCATTTGTCACAAACAGCTCAGTAACTTTTATCATTTATATTATATAATAATAATTTGCTACATTTACATAGGTTTTTTCAAGGTTCTCAAAACGCTTTACATGTGGAAGGGGGGAATCTCCTCAGTATATGAGGATGATTAGGAGGCCATTATGATAGATAGAGGCCAATGGGAAAATGTGGGTTACCCTACTCTTTTTCATCCTGGGATTTTTATGACCAAAGAGAGTAAGGACCTCTGTTTAACGTCTCATTCGAAGATTTTTTTTTTGACAGTATAGTGTCCCCATCACTATACTGGGGCGTTAGGACCCACACAGACCACAGGGTGAGCACCCCCTGCTGGCCTTATTATATAGTTATGTAATATTTTTTCTAATTATGTAATATTAATTTAATAATTTATTCTTATATGTATATATATATATATTTTTTTTATTAGCACAGAATTGTAATATAAGATCTATAAGTTGAGAAACAATATAATAAAATTGTATTGAATTAAAGATGATTTTGTTGATAATCCACAAGTTTAGCAAAAGATTTGAATGTGCATTTATTGTTTGACACATTGCAATGTGGGCTAGGGATTGACTTCTTCCTCTAGAACAGATCAATTGCATTTCCTGTGTCTGTGCACTATGTAACCGAAAAGCGGAAGCACTAAAAGAAGTTCGTTGAGACTGCAGTTGGGATGGCAGATCAATACCCTCGCTCAGTGCAAAAGCAGGCAGGATGCCACCACAGCGGCTCACTTATAGCCAGCAGCAGATCAATACGCTGCAGCCTGCGATGGAGCAGTGCCTCAGTGGGAGAGAGAGATGTGCCACACTGCTGTTAGCTCGGCTCAAACAGAGTGTGTGCAAGCAGAAGACATTTGGATGTTTGTGTCTACAACATGCATGTTTGTATTCTAGGAAGCGGAAAGGTGTGTCTCGTCTGTATAACAGAGTGTGTAGGCATTGGGAAGTGATATCTTTGTGACCTGACAGGACCGAATGCAACGAGAGAGGAGCTCTGGGAGGTGCGCAGGTCTTTGGAGAGCTGCCCTAGGTCTTGGCCGACCTTTCTGTGATCTCTGGCTGACCCCTAGCTGACCTGTGGGGTAACTTTGCAAATGAACTCCAGCCAAACCGGCCTTCTCTTTCTCTTCCCCGGCGTGGGAGAGCGCAGGTGCGCTATATCACACTCAGTGTAGCTGCAGGGGAGGGTTCACATTCAGTGAAAGAGGAAATCAGGCATAAAGGGAAATGAAGACACATGTCCCTCTTTTCCTTACACACGCACACACAAATAGGCTGTGCTGATTGGGGGGGGGGCCATTTCAGCATTTGCATTGGCTTCCAGTAAAATTGCAACTGTAATTACTTTCACAGTTGTCCAGTTTTAGCTCAAGAGCTGATCCTGGATGATATTTTTGTAATATCTCAACTGTTTGTCTTTTAAAGTGTGGCAATTTTGTGGGGGAAAATATGTCCATCAACCAATCAGATTCCCAGCCAACGTGGCGACTTTGCGTGACCAACTTTAACCCGATCCTGTAGATTCCTATTGCATATTGAAACGTGCGCATTTCACCCCCATTCGCCAAACAACGGTGAATAACCACAGCTTTAGGGGGTGTTTACGCCGTTTTTAACTAAAAACAGAAAACTTTGGGCCTTTCATTTACATGACAACAGCATTTTGGGGGGCTGATAACGAAGTTTTTGAATACGATGTATCGTCTCCATGTTAACTACAAAAACGCGACTGTGAAAATGGTGACGTCATGCGCATGCCTACGTGCTTGTGTCAGTGAGTGTGTCAGAATCAGAGACATAAACGTGTACTTCACAACCTAAACAACATCAGCACAAAAGTGACATCGCCAACTGGCCTGACATGCATAGCACAATGTTTTTAGTCGTTTTCACCAATCCCTGTGAACGGGATCGTTTTGACAACATTGTTGTCTTGTCTGTATGCAAAACTTTTCCGTTTTTAGTAGGCCTACATTGTTGTGATGTAAACGTACCCTTAGACAGCATTTCCATTAGCAAATACAGTTTGATGAGGGGTAAAAGTGTAAAATTAATGACTCTTCTTCCATTGTTTGGACAAATAGATAGTTCCGCCACAAATAGAGTGGTGCAGGTATGACATCACTTTGTAGGCCAACATGCGGAAATGAGTTATTTTAGCTAAGTTTTCATTGACCTCGAAGTCAATGTTTTTTTTTAAAGGGTTTTTGGTTAAATGGCTGAAATTAGGTCTGTGCTGGTGTACACAAGCTCAAGACACTTTCACCTTTTATTCTACGACATAGACATTTAGCTTTTCGCTTTTGGAAACTGCATTTAGGCTAAAAGTTGTGTTCATCTGTGAAACTTATCTTGATGGACAAAGCGTGTAGGTATCATAAAATATGTTGATCACAGAGCTTGTTTTCTGTGATAATCCAAAAGCCTATGGAAAAATCCTTCTAGGTTTTTGTTAAGGGGACCTGATGCTAACTGCCTGTTGGCCTACAAAGTGATGTCATGCCTGTACCACTCTATTCGCGCCATTGATTGAGTAAATGGTAAATGTTTATAGAAGGTATTTTAACGGTCTAAAAATTACACACTTAATTCTCTTTCTTTTTAATTTCTTTCCGTCCGAGCAAATGATTCCAGTAGGCTATTTTCATATGTTTTGCATAGAGTTTCAGAAGAGATCTTAAATATGTCTCACATTGTGCTCATATTTGCCAATTTGCTATCAAAAGTTAGATAGCCTACTATTTCAAGATAAAAATTATCGTATTCACTGTAAAAATTCCCTGTTACAGTAAAATATGGTGACAATGTTTCAGATATTATGGGTGGCATATTGGTGCCTGTAGACTATACAACTTATAACCATATATTTATTTCATTAAGTGATGTAGTGTTGATATATACCAATTTACTTAAACTTTCAAAATCTGCTTTTTCACCTTAAAATGTACTGATAACCAGCATAATAATAGTAAAACAGAATCAGAGTTCCTATAAAACTATAGACTTCACGGTGCACATTGGAGACACAAGACAAAACACAGTCAGGCTAACATGCATGACACTAAAATAATGCAATAGGCCTAAACATTAACTAAGCAAGGACTTCTGGAAATGTCTTTGTAGATTATATACATAGTTTTTACTTGCAAAAAACATCAAGTTGACAGTATTTTATGGTAATATTGCATCTAATGCAATGTTCAACCATTTATAATTGTTCACTGAACATGTGTAATGGACATAGGCCAGTAAGAGCCTCAAGAGGCACCCCGCTCGAAGTGGGTCGAGTGGAACCGGTTACACATGGCACAGTAACCATTTATAGTTGTTTTCTGGAAAAATTGCTAACAATTTTACAGTGTACATACAATTATCTAAGCTATGCAATCCACAATCATTTTATCGCTCTTTATTCTTACTGTATGGCAACAATTCTCTCATTTGTTTGTATTTTTTAGTGAGTAATTTTTGGAAAATGAGACGAAGTTGATACTGAGAATTGGGTTTCCTGATTTATGAAACAACA